TCAAATAAGTCCTTACAAATCAATCTGGTTGCTATTTACAATATAAATACATTAATGTAGCTGTATTACTCAACTATAATTGATTGAATACAAAATTCTGGGTTATTATTGGTGAAAATAGGGTGTCGGGCCTTGGTTCAGGAACCAATCCCCCATTTATAATATTGTTCCTATGGGAAAATCGGTTCTGAGTTACGACGTTTCGACTTAAAACACGGTTTTCAGGAGCCAATTCTGTCATACGTCCGAGGACTGCCTGTATTCCTGATCCCAGTGTAGTTTACAACAGAATATAAAGCTGATATAAATCACACCAAGGCAAGTGTGTAATGGTTCCAGGCCCTGAAACTGAGATTTCCCACATGAAAGCATCAGCTGGGGACTTATCCCAAATTAATTTTTAAAATTAAATCAATGAGTCAAATCTGCTTCTACTGGCATCATGTTGATATAGCTCCTCAGCAGAAACAAAATCTATCCCAAGGAAGGCAGCTACCTGTCTGATAATAGGAAACACGTTTTTTTACTCCCTAACAGAAGAAAAAAATGAAATCCAAATACCTAACTCAACTTCCAAGCATCATTCCAGATTTGCAAACTGTGGTTTGTTTAAGGGTAATAGGTGCAAAAAAAATCTATCATTTTAAAAGTTGGTTACTAAGGACACATAAGCAGTGATAACTTTACATACATTGAAGTCTGAATCAAGGTATTCAGAGCTGAATCAAGGTACGCCTTACTTGGTTTAAGGAACTGGGGTCTAAAGTGTACCAGCTGCTAACCAGGAGTGAGTCATTCTTATTGCAAATTTTCTGTTAAGTTTTTCAATTAGCCTTTTGAGACACGAGTATAAATGTAACAGGTCAAAGGCAGAAAGGTGTCTGTGGTGCGCTCTGATGTACTGCCACATTGAAGCTAGGTAGACTAAAACCTCAGATTTTTAATGGCTTATCACCTTCAACAGTGCAGGGTTTGCCAATCCATTGACTGATTCAGATTCACATTTTAGCTCAACACTAGTTGAGGGAAAAGGGAAACAGCATTCCAAACTTACATTTGCTGCATTAACTCTTGCAATATCAAAGAGCAGTCTACAGCTCCAAAGTCACTAACCATAAGAGCCGTAAGGATCTATATATGTATGTGGTGTTACTGAGGAGAACAAAAATGATCTCATATTTAATCATGTCTTTTTTGGTTCTTTACCTTATCTCATTACAATACTACATATTAATTTATTCACATCATAGATTAAGTTAATGACCCCTTCTTGCCGTTATTAAGAAATATCAAATAATAGTAATGCAACAGCACTTGAGCAAATTACAGTGCAATTGGCCTGCACTCATTTATAATGATCAGATTGGGTAAGGAATAAAATAATGGTTGCATAGCAATCATTTCTGTAATAGATGTAATCTGTATGTAGTATAGGCCACAATTAATTACAGCCCTTTTGTTTCTCTTTCCATCTTCTCTTTCTCACTCTCTTAATAACTGTACTTCTTGCTACCTTTCCTAGTTCCCAAAACACTTTGCTCAACTTCCTCTGTAGCATCCTTGTCAGAGACTGATGCAGCCCCTTGCCCTTTGTCCCAAGAACTCTGAAGAATGGTTTGTTACGGCTTTATTTAGGCCATGGTGTGATTCACACTCATTTCTAAAAAAAACAGGGAGAAAGCAGGTGATGGGAAGGGGAGTGCAGGTTTGTTTTTGGTCGTACGGGCTTCTTTTCCCCTGGCGCACCATTCCCCGTCCGCTGTGCATTTGAGTGTATGTCTGCCATCCCTATTCACCCGTGTGTGCGATTGTGTGGGTCTGTACTGTTCCCATTCAGCTGTGTGTGCGCGTGTGTGTAGATTACAGGCACTCGGCTCATGGTTGCCTTGGCAACCGCAAGGCATCATTGTCTGTGGTGGCACTGAGAGTTTCCCAGGCCCACTGAGGACAGAAGAGGGGGGAGAATGGAGAAAGAGGAAGACAGAGCAGAGATGAGATGGCAGAGATGTTGAAAGCCAGCAGCCATGTGGGAGAGAGAGCTACAAGCTGTATTAAAGGGGCACATACATTGCCACAGAACAATGGGAGCTTTTGCTGGCTTTCTGTGAAAAGAAAGAATATGTACACAATGGCCTGTGACACGTGAAAGCCTCAGAGCTAACTTTATTGCTTCACCATTATGGACCCTGCCAGAGACCTATTCAGCCTGAAGAACTCTCTTCAACCCTTAAGCCCCAAGGAAAATAGAAGCTTTCATTCTCTTGTTTTAAAAACAGATCTAAATTTTTTTAAGATAATTTTTGCTGTCAGCATGTTGAAAGCTCTTGAAGACTCAATTCTGCAAGGTGCTGACTGCCTGTTGTGAAGCGTTGAGTGTCCATAGCTCCTGCTGACTCTTGTGGGAGGTCACAATGCTCAGCATCTCCTAGGATTGGCCTCATCTCCACACCACATAGCAAAACACAAGCCATTGTTAATATTCATGTATCTGACCCTGTCCTGAACACTTGCTGTTAGCACTCCCCACAAGCAGCTAAAGGACAGAAGGAGGGACGAAGCAGTCAGCCCATCCTTACTTCAAGCTAGAATATCATTTGCATGAAAAGGAAGAGCAGGAATGAAACTGGAACAACTCAAATAAGAAATAAAGGCATGAGCCCAGAATCAGAGATCAGGAGGGAAAAGAGCAGGTGTCCCATTTACCCTGCCCTTGTTACACTACTGTCATAGGGGCTGATCTGGTAAAGTGCTGAGCAAAGTGGGCATCACCTGGAAGAAGTTCACTGCCCCTTCACTGCCCTTTATTGTCATTGACTCTGGAAGGTGACAGCATCCAAACTTTAGGTCACTGGTTCAAAGAGAGTATATCACTTATCACAACATCAAAGTCTGGAGTAAAACTCCAAAGGTTCAGGGGTGCTCACCATCAAGGCACCAGAAAGAGCAGGATATCTGCTGACAGAGGGCACAACAGAGTCTATAACAATTCTTAGTTAAAATGCAGAGGAAATAAAGAAATACAGGGCACATTGCTACTAGTTTACAGACATGGAAGCATGTTTTTCTTTTCCAAAATATATATATAAGCCACATTTTGAAACATTTGACTTGAGTAATGAATTTAAACTCATACTTCATCTTGTTAATTACAGTTACAGTACTTGCTAAGGAGTTAAAATAATCACAGCTGGTATAAAACTTATAGGTATTCATTTGGACTGAAAAGTGCCAATTTCTGACCTTCTGTTTACATTAAACTAGGATGAATGTTTGCATTATTTTATGAAATCTTAATATAGTAAAAAAAAACCATATTCTTAGACAAAAGGGTTTTCACAATCTATTTTCTGTCTATAACAATAATACTTTATACTTAATAGTACACAATGCCATCTTCCCAGGACCTAAAATCATACAAACATTAGTGACTTAAGCCTTATAATATTCATGTAACCCACCAGAGGTTTACAGATGAAGGATATAAAGCTTAAGAGTTAGAGGTCAAATATTCCAAAGCAGGGATTTCCACTTAATGGCTCAATTTGTGCCTATATAATGCTGCCCTTGCATTACAAATAAGAACCTAGACAATGTAGTTAAAGCCTAGTGAATTCCCTTTACAGTTAAGTTGTGGTACAGATCTTACAGGCACAAATGCCTTCCCACAAAAGTGGGAGGCACACCTCAGTTGAGATGAACATTCAGACAAAAGTGGCTTGACCAAATTCACTACAGAAGTATCTGGCTGAGCCAGGAGTAGGACCCTGGTTTATCTTCTGATCTCAGTTACATCAATGCATATTTAGAGCCATTTCCCCTGTAACTCCACATTGCACATTTTTCTACAGTAATTCCAATAACTAATTATAATATAGATTGTTATAACAATGAGACATGATATACATTTTAAGAAAGCATTTGGTTTAACATTTGGATTATGGTTCAAGTTTTATGTTGACATATTATTTGTGTTCATTTATCTCACATTCATAGGCAGTCCCATGACTATAAGAGGCAGCATTACTCCTGTTTTGAGATAACTGGGCTCACCTTCCAAATGCAGGCTGTGAGGTCACTTGCCCCTTTAAATGGTGAGGAAAGAACCATGCATTTCAAGAGCTATGGAGTATCCCCACATGTGCCATTTTTGTGGTCCTCAGGAGGCATTCTTACTCTGAGCCAGAGTTCCTCCTGAGCCTCCTGTGGCTGAACAGCTCCTTCACTTAAAAACCACAGTGCAGCCCTGTTTGTGCAACTTGGTCAGCAAATGATTAAGTAGATGCCACACTGAGCACCCTGGTATCCACATTAAATCAGATTGCTCTAGGATCAGCCAAGAATCAGGATTAATGTCTCAACTTTTGGGAAGCTTGCAAAAGACTCCAAATGTTTATTCATACAACAGCGGGGATTTTCTGAATTGAATGAATGGCACGATAATCTATTTGAAACTCCCATGGCTTGGGCCAGAGGTAAATCCAGGTCATTGAATTAAGACCTTAAAAAACTACTCACCATATGCACAAAACTCTCATAAACATACCAGTTTTAAACAGTGAAAATAATTTATTCAGATGGTTAATCAGAGTGCACTCTGTGATGGCTTCCCTGCTATTACAGATAAAGTGCATCAGATTTTTATGGAGCATTTTTTGGATTATGTTATATCTTTTCTCTAAAACTAAATATGAAATATAGGCACTGCCATAGGATCAGGCCAATGGTCTCTCCAGTTTAGCATCCTATCTCCAACAGTTGTTAATAGGCAATAATTCATAGGAAAATATAAGCTTACTAGTCAAATCTGTAAGAACAAGCAAATTATGGGCGGGAACACAAAGGCAAAGAACAACAAGAGTGGTTTTACTGGGCCCATGCACTGAGTAGCTTTGAATATGTTGGCCATCCAAACTTCCCACAAAGCCATATTCAAGATACGAAGTTTACAATCTTTTCTCACACTTGTATGAGGTGAATGTCCTTGTGCTTAAATTTATTAGGAATTGCTGCCCTGGATAGTAAAGCATCAGGGAAGATGGGAATCCGAGCTGTAGTCTACTACATGAGTACAACGATTATTGCTGTATTGATTGGTATTATCATTGTGGTCATCGTCCACCCTGGGAAAGGTACAAAGGAAAATATGCACAGAGAAGGCAAAATTATGCATGTGACAGCAGCAGATGCCTTTCTTGATTTAATCAGGTGGGTATGGATATGATATTGCACATTTTCTGTAACAACAGCAACAGTAGTAATATTTACAAGTGCTCTACCAAGAAAAGCCTTAGAGGGTGACTAGATAAACTAGCAACACTTCTTTTGGAGCAGGTGATGCCAACATTGATATAAAATACAAAGGATCACATATTTACTTTCCAACAAGGCAGCAGCTGAACAAAGCAGCCAAGAAAGAAATTATTTTTAATCTTCAAAGCAGTATTGTATCTACAGATTCATGCTCTAACCACCCACACAGGTTTCTTCTTTCCTTCTGCAGTATAGCTCTATCCTACCACCAAGATCTTTTCCTCTACTCCACAACAAAATCCCACAGATTTCTTACTCCACATGAGACCATAATTTATCTATTCATCCTAATTTTATGTCATAGCCCCTAAACTGGGGCTAAATGCTCCGTTCTGCTCAGAGCGGAGAAAATTCCAAGAGAAAGTGAATACAATGCATGCAAGAGGGAAGCCAAGGCTTAATAACCTGCTTCCTTCTATCCCAAAGCAGCTTGACAGTCGTATGTTCCACAAGGGTAAGACGGAGCAGGGAAGGAAGTATCTATCTGAGCCCGGTGGCTTTTCCACAGAGAAATCCACTAGAAGCTTATGCTTTGTTTAGCCCACTGGAAGGATCATACAGGACAGACGTGGAGGGAGGCCTCCAAGAGATGTGCTGCCAGGAAGGGGGACTCCAGAAAGGAGCACGAAGAGATTTTCACCCATACGCAGACTCCTCCAAAGGTGCCAGATGCTTCTGTGATATCAAAGATTCAAACCTTAGGCATACATATTGATTATTGCCCTTTAGCAAGCTCTGTTAGGCTCACTAGATTGGGTGACTGTCAAAATCTTTCATTTGAAAACTCAAAGTTAATTAAATACTTAGCAAACTTTATCCATCCCAAGAGCATATTAATAAATACAAAATTTGAGCCAATGTAGCCTCACTAAGCATTGTTCATTTGGAAGTGGCTCCCCCTCCCCCCATTCTGTTTCATAACTGGCTATTATATATCCCTAGCCCCACAAATCTTGCCTGGCCGATCCAAACCACCCCCCTCACATTTTATGCAAAAAAGCTAATGATGCTAATACTACCTGTGAGGTTTTAAGTCACTATAATATTTGCACTTTTTTCTTCTTACCAATCCTCCAAAAATTGGTTTATTCCTCTTCAGCTATGCTACTTTAAAGAGATTTAATATTTCTCATGTTATTTTCTTTTCCTTTCACAGAAACATGTTCCCTCCAAACTTGGTAGAAGCCTGCTTCAAACAGGTAAAAATGTGTTGTTATCGGCAACTGAAATTCTACTATGGCAGTTTTAATGTCGTAAGCTAGGACATTGTTGTGGTTATTATTATATTATAAATAAAATTATGATACATGTCATACAACAAATTAGACACTGAAATATTGTTACATTTTTTTTTAGTAACAACCAATGATTTTGCTAGTCTTTACAGCAGCAATGAATCTTATACCTAATTTCAATGGTTAGCCAAAGAAAACCACTAAAACATGTGTTTTGTTTTCATTCATTTGTACTGGGCTACTTACCTAAGCCAGAAAACTAAAAAATTAGAATTGTTCCATGTTTGTCAAATTCACAAGCCTAAAACAAACCCAGGTAAAATCACTAACTCTGTGGCAGGAACACCAGAAATATTACTTCCTCAATATTCAGTATGTCTACCTATAAACTGCCTCTCATCAACATTCCTGTTAAAAAAGGACAAATAAAAGTAGCCAATTAAATTGCCCTTAAAATGGGGAAAGACAGTAATATCGTGAGCCTCTAAACATATGCATGTCATCCTCGTATCAAGGGACTGCTGGCACCAACAAGACACATGTATGTTGCCAGTGATTGGATGGCTTCTTTTAGATACTGATCTTCACCTTGGACTGGGGATGGGCAAAATATGGCCTGTGGGCTGGATCCA